CAGCGCCGGCGACTAGGACGATATAGACATCGATCTAGCGTCTATCAGCGACCAGGCAGAATATAGGAGTGGAGAGTATGGGGCAATAGGAGGGCAGCAGACAGCTGGTATAGGATGGGGTGGTAGGAGGGTAGCAGGCAGCTAGTAGAGAGTATGGGCGATAGGAGGGTACTGGCTGTCTGTACCCTGCTATCGCCCTATTCTATCCACTGTTAGGCGCTGCAGGGCGCTAGAGGACGATGGTAGACGCTGCTGGGCGCTAGATCGATACCTATACCTATACTTAGCTGTCCTCGAGACGCTGCTGGAACTGGTGGACGCTGGTAGACGCTAGATAGATATCTATACTTTCCCAGTTGATGACGCCCCGGACGCTCGGAACGTTGGTGGTCGCTGGTGGACGCTGCTGGCCGCTGATAAACGCTGCCGCTAAGTATGGACACAGTCTAAATCAGGCGAAAGTTTTTCTTGGAATTTGGGGTGATTGACTACAGAAGATCAGCTAGAGAGCACGAAAACGAGCAACACGACAGATATGACGTCTAGCAACGCGGGCAGAGGAACTTGAGCAGCAATTCGCTTTGACGCCCCCGCCTTACAACTTTCTGACGCGAAACTAATACAAGGTTATTTATTGCGGTTCACTCTATCTTTCCCACACACGGCTTTGATTTCATAAGTAAATGCGGAATGCGCCCCAAATCGTGAGAAAATGGGGATCATAACCCTGGGATCTTGTTCAAAATCCCATAGTCCCTTGCATAATCATAAGGCCAAATGTGGGTGGTCTAAACAGCAGAAAATGCGGAAGATGACGAGAAAATTTCGTTGAGATTCGTTGAATGTTTGACGACTTTCTCTCCATATCGGCGATAATCTGAGAATTGGGACGTTCACGAAGAACATCTAAGTCTTCAATAGTAGGTCACCACCACGGCGCCCGCCCGTCCCTGTGGTTTCTTATTTCGCGCGGCGGTGACGGCGAATTGATAACGGTACCGTTCACCCACATTTCTTCTAAATTCCATTTAAACAATCGTCAGCTTTCCTTCCTCTTATTGATCGGCACTCACTATCGATCCGCGGATATTGATTTGTCAACCAAGAATTCATATTTATACTCGTCACAACGGCGATGCGGCACGTGGACTCGTTGGACTCCATAAAGGAGTCCGCTTACAAGGGTGTAATTGCCGTTTCCTTGACGGCTACGCTCGTCTCAGCCGTTTTTCTCATCACAGTTTTACCAATTATTGAAGATTTTGCTGAAACAAATAGCGCCTTGATGAAGAGCGATGCTATCTATTGTGGGGTAAGGCGATCGTATGGAGTTTATTCCTTAAAAGTTTCGTCAAAGAGAATTTTAGACTTCATCAACAGAACTTTCATCACTTTTGATGCGGTTTGGAATCAGTCAGGTGAACTCGACAGAAAGGATAAGAAGGAAAACTGATGCCGATTATGCAGATTACGAGGCACAAGATGAAAAAGTATGCAAGTGAGTTGACTTTCAACTGGGTTCTTTTGCTGCTAGCGCACTGGGGATAAGTCCCTGACTAACGGTTGAATATTGGCTCGGCTCATCTTTCTCAAAATTGTGAAACTTAATGTTCTCTGTTCTTTGGTTTCTCAGGTTCCGCATGAAAAAATGCAGTAGCCATTCTCGATCAATGCGTACTTGTTGCGCCATGCACTAGGTTTTCCTTCCAAAGTGAGGAAGTCTGGAAAAATTGGTGAGCAGGGGAGGAAAGGAGGAGGGGTAGCTTATATAGGCGAGTGGCACGATAAATCAACAAGGCTTTCTGGGTCGCCTAGCGCGGGATATTGTGCCCTTTATCAGGCGCTGCCTGGCCCTTTCCAAACCAAGGACCCGCTATAGAGCCCAAACAAGGTGCGACACGGCGAGCCCTTCTCATCCGCTCCCCCCCCCCCCGCTCACCCACCCCCCCCCCCCACAAATGAGCCGTGCAGTCACATTGGCGCGCGCTGGTACCCTTATCGCTTCACTCATGAAGCGCAATTGATATGAAGCGTTGCTGCATGGATATATGAGCGCAGTCGTGCAGCCGTTCCATGACGGTTGTTGGCACGATGCAACGGGAAACTCGTCCAGAAGAGCCCGTCCAACGCCGTGCAGAACAATGATTCTTTCGCAAGTTTTCGGCCATTGAGCTTCCTTTTTTGTCATTTTCCTACTATTAAGCCCCTGCTACTATTTTACAGTAACTGGCAAATTATTGTGATTCATGCATTCAAGATCTGAAGATTAGGCAAACATTTTGTCTTGTCGGTCAAAGTTGTCACTATTCTGGGATATTCTGGGATCTCTGCAGGGGAATCATGGTGCTCGGCTCCGGTCAGCTCGGTTCAAGCTGTATCGCCATGCACTAGTTTTTAGTAGAGTTAGAGTTTTGCGGATTGTCGACATTGTTCCCTGGGATTTGACTTTTTCTTGAACCAATCATGAAGGCTGATCATGGTCTAAGAACGGTTCCACCGGTATAGTTTATGACAAACCATGAGCAGCATCAGAACTAAGTGGCAAAACATTTATTAGCCAGACGACCTCGAAGCGCTGCAGCATTGCCATTGGATCTTGATGCGAAAGCCGCGTACGTGACGCGATTGGAACGCCTCTTTTGTCGCCCTTGCTGTGACTCCCATGAACTACGTTCCTTTGAAATCAAGGAGGGCACAGTTTCGATTTTCATTCGTAGCTATTGAGCGCAGTGACTGGAGGTTGAGGTGAAAAGGGAGGGGATGAAATGATGATTCTGTCTCACCGTTCGAAGCTGCCACCTGAAAAGTGACTATGAAGATAGCCTGAGTAAAACTTGGTAAACTAGAGCTTGGTGCGATCTTATGAACCCTATTAACTGCGCAGAAGATGGGCAGCAAGCCTAGTCACCGTACCATTTTGATGGATTCTATCTTGTCTTATAAAGGGGGTCATCGATCCTCGTTTCCATGAATCTGGCTTTTTCACTATGCAATTTCGTGAGGCTGCATTTGAAGGGATTTCCAATTCTGGATCGAGTTTTCGAGTGAGATCTCCGATCTGTGATTCTTTTCATTCATTTTGGTTTTTTCTCTCTCGAAATCTTTTCTCGATTCACTGTCGATATTATCCTACAACCAAGAGTCGAGCTCCAAAAAAAGCTCCTCACGCTATGGTTCAACAGGTCTACTTCTTACTTCCAATAGGATCTTCCATTTCACATTCGATCCATTATTTCTGATTTATAAACTTTCTCTCTAGATGCCACTAGTTAAGTGAGGCCACTCGGCCTCTTTGTCCCTTCCTGCTAACGAAGGCTCGGGGTCAAGACATTAGTCGATTGTATGCTCTCTCGCTGTGAGGGTACAGAAGTGTTTTGTCATCTAATCTTCTGTTTGAGCTTGGGAAGGAAAGAAGAAAAAGAAGGAAGCAGGAAGGAAAAAGCAAGGAAGAAGAAAGTTCCGCGGCTGTCAGATACCCTGAGACCAAGGCTTAGGCATAGGGCACAGACGACCAGAGTCGAGTAGTACAGACAGATGGAGGACAACGGCTGCAAAAACACTGAGATGCACGATAGAACATGTAGGGGGTCAAGGGAAGAGTTATTTAATGGTGCG